TTGATAATTTGTGAAGTAAACCTACTCTCTCCTTGAAAATCTCCATGACAAGAGAGAGCAAGAAGGATGAGCATCCTTTGGAAACCTTCTGTTTTGCTATGTTCCAGTTCTGTTGTAGTAGGACCTTCTCCAGAAGTAGTGGCCGGCCGACCAGTTCCCTGTATGGTCGACTAGTTCTCTAGGCTGGCTGACCACTTGGTTTGTATGACTGTGGTGTCTTTCCAGTGAAACAGAGCAGATCTTGAGGCCCAAAATAGAGCTATTTTCATACTGTAAACAGAGCAGCTTCTGGCAGTGAGTAGGGGGGTTTCCTGAGGATGTTCTCGTTTATGCTCATGCGATTCCCCGCCTCTCATTCAAGTCCTTTAAATTAGTAGCTTTGAGATTTGTATTTTGTAATAATTAGCTAGTAATTAATTAATTAGTTCATTCATTTATGTTTGTAATAATTAATTAATTAGGCCATTTGGACCCTCTTGTGTGAGGGCAAATTTGTAATATTTGATGTATGTCTTCCAACCCCTATTTCTTTCTCCCTTTTACTTACATGCTTACTGTGGTCGTATATAGCATCATGTTTTCTTTTATCATTCCCATGTTTTGTATCCATTTTCACATACATTAAAATTCGGCTCATCATGCATAATGCTCTTACCATTTCCTACTTGATTATGTGCACTACCTCATGCTTTGAGTTACTTCACATGTCATGTTAGTAGCCGAATCTAATAGTTGCATTTTTGTATGCATTGCATTAGCCATTTTGCATATTAGGATCATGCATTTGTCTAACTGTATTCTTTTCTTTGGTTTGCCTTGATTGAGTACTAGGTAATCATTTTTTCTTTAGCATATTACATATGTGTTTGTGTTGCCATGTCAAGCATACTACCATGAGGCTACGTGCTTATTCGAACTACCTTTTTCAATGCCTGTGGATGAAGGCTATTTCGTTTAAGTTGGAATGACTTTGATTATTGTACATATGACCTTGCTTTTCTTTTGAGTTGCACATATCTAAAAACTCTTTTCAAAGAAAGCATGAAATCGAAGTATTCCAAAGTAAGTGACGTGGTCTATACTTGTTTGCTTCACATAGTACTGTTAGTATATTAATAATCAGAACATGAGCATATAATGTCCACAAAATTCACATCATGATTAGTAGAGACCGATCTTTGATTGGGTGAGCGGGATGCTCAATTCATGACCTTCTCCTCTCATACCTAAGTTCCTGAACTGAGACACTTTGGTTATGACGGACAAGTGGCCTTTGGCATGAGTCACGGGTTTCCTAAATTTCTTAAAAATATTTAGGTGGCAACTTTAAAATCTGGCAATGTAGTCCATTTTTGGCATCTTTGATAATTAATGGATTTTCTAAGATTTGCTGGATTTGGACTCTCATTCATTTTTCTGTTTCACATTGTACTTGTGAAACTAGATTCAGAACCACGGGAATCCAAACTGTAGGGCTATCGTACCTGAGGAGACCAAACCCCTCCGAGGAGCGCAAAAAACTAGCTACACACTGTTTAACGCTTTCATTTCACGCTAGGCGATCACCTCAATCTCAATATTCCATATTGACAAGCGGAGGTAGGGTCTTCAGATTTTAAGTTGAAGGTTGCAGTGTAATAGTATGACGACCCCAACACGCATATCATTATTGCATTTATCTTGTTATGTGAAATTTGAATGTTTAAATGTGTGTTATGTGCTTAATTTGTTTATATTTGTTTGAATTATGGAATATCTGTTAGAATACCTGTTTTGAATTAGAAATTGAAGGCTTACATGAATTCAGAAACCAAAATTGACAAGTTTGATAGACTAATTTGAATATTTAGAACTTTTTGCGAAGTTTAATTAAAATTTGATTCAGATTAAAATAATTAGGAATAATTAATTTGATATAAGTTAGATTAATTAACCTTAAGTTTGTTTAATTAGCCTAAGTTAATCCTATGTATATAAGACTAAGAGATGAGGGAGAGCTCATTTTCTACACTTCTTTTGTGGTGGATTTTTTGAGAGAAAGAAAGGAAACATAATTCTAGAGTGAGAAAAGGAGCTTTGTGAAGAGGAGGAGTGGAGTCGAAGGAAATTAACTTGTAGAACTTGAAATTAAAGCTTAAGGTAAACAATTAACCTTGAATTCTTGTAATTAATCCAACTAAAAAGTGTGTTCATGAGGGAAATTAAGGTAATACATAGATAATTAGTAGAATTAGCTTGTAGATGATGAAAATTGGCTTAGAACGGACATGCATGCATAATTTCATCATATTTCACTACCTTAAGCATGAATTCTATCATCTTTGTTGGATTTAAAGTTAAATTGCATTTATATCCTTGATTTTGAGAAGTTTGAAGGTTCGAGTTCATGATTTTAAGAACCAAACTCATAGTTTGAGAAGTTTGAAGGTTTGAGTTCATGATTTTAAGAACCAAACTCATAGTTTGAGAATTATGAAGAAATATGTTTAAAACTTCACATGCATGGAGGTTTTGTTTTCAATTTTGTCAAATTCATGGTGTTTTGAGTTAATGATTTTTAATTGGTTCTATTTCCATGTTTTTCAAGGTATTTTTAAGTGTTTGAACCAGCCATGCAAACCTATGCATTATAGACTTATGTTTTGAAGCTCAAAATTTTGTTTTGAACACCCAATTTTTGACCTTATCGCTCGAGCAATGAATTGACCGCTCGAATGCACATTGCGAACATCTAGTATTTTTGTGGAGCCTTGCATTCCATTTGAGCGACAAAATGTTCACTCAAGCCTACTTTGAGACCATCCAGTACTTTTGTAGACCGATCAGATCGCTCGAGCAATCAAGAGTCCGCTCGAGAGAACACCCTATTTTCAGTAATTTTTGAAGAACACTTTCATGTGCATATTTACACTCTTATGTTCTTTCTAGCATTCTTAAGCATTGTAAAGGCTTCATTAAGGAAGTAATAAGTTAGAAACCCACCTAAAGAATTGAATTGTATCAAATCGGAATAGAATTGAATTAATGATGTTGTTTGAGTGGTATGTTTCAATGTATATTTGTTATGTGTTTTGTGTAGGTTGGTCACCCAAAACTTAACGTCTGTTCAAGTCCACTGTGAGTAATATCTCTATAAAGTTATGTTCAAAATGTATATTGAAATTGTTCAATACAGAAGTTTATGAAATCTTATTTTGTATCTATGAATGAATGTCCTTTTTTGAAAATACATTCATGGCATCCTTTAGTGAGGCCCTTTCCTGGGGGACATAATACTATGGCCCATGGATTAATTGAAACACAGAGATCTCTGATGTTCGACCTTAGTGGTCCACATTGAATTGCCCATTGTGGTTCTATTGTTTGACCCGTTATTGAATTGACCTTAATGGTCCCATTGGCTTCGGCATAGTGATATATTGTTATTCTATTGGATGTTACCATGTATAATGATTTGAATGGATATTGTTAACACAAAGGATTGATATGATTAGATATATGAATTGTTTTGGAAATTAAAAAATATGTTTTATGAGATGTTGGATTTCATTCATTAACCTTTATATTGATGTTGCTCACTGGGTTTTATCTCATCCCCTCCTTCTCTTATATGTGTATATATGTGTATATATATAGGTGAGCACATGGATGATCGGGCTTAGAGTTGCTTTTAGGAGTCCACCCTTTTGAGAAGCTGATTGTGAAGTGTCTCCGTGATGGGGGCGTTGCTTGGTCTGTAGTGGAGACAAGCTTTTGTCAAACCCTTTGTTTAGTCATTTTGTTTTTGATTATATGTAGAACATGTTTGCACATATGGAAGTTAAAGTTGAAGTTTAATATTATGGAATGATGAATGTGTTTTAAGTTTTTTATGGAGTTTAACATATAAGCATGTCTCAATGGACTTATTTATTTCAAGTCTTGCTTCTGCTAAGCCCTGTAAATTATTTAATGATTTGTATTTGTCTTTGACGCCGAAGGTAATCTATGATTATTGGCCGGTCATGACCTAAACCTCTAGGGACGGGTACGAAAAGATGTGCAAAAAGTAGAGTGAAAAGAGAATCTTTGACTTTTTAGTATGGGTTGTTGGCTTTTTGGCTAACTTTTTGACTAATTGGCTAAAATAGCCTCTTGCCAAACGAGGCCTTAATATTATGGAACGATGAATGTGTTTTAGGTTTTTTATGGAGTTTAACATATAAGCATGTCTTAATGGACTTATTTATTTCAAGTCTTGCTTCTGCTAAGCCCTGTAAATTATTTAATGATTTGTATTTGTCTTTGACGCCGAAGGTAATCTATGATTATTGGCCGGTCATGACCTAAACCTCTAGGGACGGGTTAGGGTTTGTGCAAATGGAGCTTTGGATGCGTTTGGCAACTTGGATTTGATTGTTTTTAGTTTGCTTTTTTATTCTTTTGTTATTTGTTGTAATAATCCTCCCTATGTGGAGGTTGTGTCCTTTCTTTGTGAGAATTTTTTCTTTTCCTATAGGGATGTTATGATTCTTCTTCCTATCATTACAACAAAATTGGGTTTTCATGGCATCACATCAACGACATACAATAAATGCACGCCGTGGTTTCTAACTTTTACGACTTGCTTTTTTTGCATGTCGTAAATAATTTTCCAACCACGGCGTGTCTATTGCGTAGGTCGTGAATGGTAGTAACGATGATTTCTTTAACGGCTTGCAATGTTTGCCGTAAATAATAAAACTTTTTATGACATGCATATGGCATGCCGTTAATACATCACCTATACACGACACACATACGCTAGCCGTGAAATGTATTGCACTTTTCACAATGCACACAACGCTTGCCGTTAAAAGTATTGCACTTTTGACGACGCACACATCGCCTGTCGTTAAAAGTATTGCCTTTTTACGACGCATAATGAATGTCGTGAAAGGTATAACCAAAAAAAAAAAAAAAATAGCACCAAAATGAAATTTTCTGGTGCCAATTCACCAAAAAATAAAAAAAGAAGAAGATAATAATCAAAAGCCCCAACTCTCAGTCCTAACACACAAAATCAACCCTGAGTTGGTCTCAAAACTATTCAATTGCAAGTCAGTACCAACTTTGGCTTTAACCTTCAACCCAACCTTCAAAACCCACCACGAATCTCCACTTTCTTCATCATTATCTTCGTCGTCGATACTGGTTCCCAAGCTCAATCTCTCCTAAATCGGCTTCTTCCTATCCTCTCGTGATTCCTAGCTTCACGTCCTCAAACAGATCACCGAGGTCAATCTCAAATATCCTCTCAAATCAGATTTCATCAAACTCGTCTTCACCTTCGAAAAATTCCAAACCTCCAATTTTTACTTCTCCAAAATCAATCTCACCAAGCCCAATCTATTAACTCTCCTCTTCGGGCAATTGCATCCCCGATCTAGAAATCTCCATGAATGCTCGATCTGAAATGCACAACATCGACTCCAAATCTAATCACCATGACTACTTGTCTGCTGGTAAAACTAATCTCCCTTTGATTTACTTCTTCTTATTATTCTTGATTTACACTTCTATGGCTGGAATTTGGACTTACATTCTCTACACTAAGTGATTGCCTGCTTATCATATCCATTTCTTCATGTTCTCTATCTTGATTTTGAAAGCTTTGAATCTCTTGTGTGAAACTAAGGAATCTGATGAATCTCTAATCTCCAAAACCCTAGTTCAACTTCATTTTTTTGAGATTATTAGTTGGTTGAATGTGAATTTTGATCTCATTGACAGGTTGAGAACTTGAAAGCTCTGCTTGAGGTCGAGGTAAGATCGATTTCTCGCATTATTTTTATTTTATACAACAGACTATTTTCATTGGTTATGCAACAGTCTATTTTCATTTGCAGATTGTCAACTTGTTGTTATTGCTTGTCTCTCTTTAGCTGCCAAAGTTGAGGAAACCCGAATGCCCCTTTTCTTAGACTTCCAAGTATGTGATATTATATTGTATTGTTAAATATGCAATGTGGGTGTTTGCAAAAATGTCTCATTGAATGGAAGGAAAATCAAAGGGTGGTTTTTTTTGTTTTTGAGGGGGGCGGGGGCGGGGGGAGGGCTTTAATTTGTTCAATTAAGGTTATTTTTAGGCTATAGGTGCCCTTTTTGAAGAAATTGTCTTTTTCATTGCTGTTTATTTGTTGAAAAGGGAAAAGAAAAAAAAGTTTTCAAGATTCAGGGTTCCATGAACTTTGATCAGTTGAAGTTATGGGTGAAATAGAAAATTACTTTTAAAGTTTTGCTCTCAATCTTTTGGCTTTGACTATGGAAATGTTATAGACATTAAAATGTTGATTTAGTTATGTTTCACATATTGAGGAATTTCTTCACTTGATTTTGGAAGCTTGAAAATTGTAAAAGTTTTGATAATTTTTAATTTTTTTATGATGGAAATTTTCCTATTCGAAGTCTGAATTGGCTAAACTTGGAAGAACTTGTCTTTTTTCATTGTTGTTTGTTTGGTAAAAGAGGGGAAGGAAAGGAAAGTTTTCAAGATTCACATGGAAAATTAGTATTCCATGTACTTTGCTTAGTTGAAGTTGGGTGAAATAGAAAATTGCTGTTAAAGTTTTGTTATCAATCTTCTGGTTTTGACTATGGAGAATATTGTCGACATTAAAAGGCTTTGCATATTTTTAGTTATGTTTCATATATGGAGGAATTTCTTCACTTGATTTTGGAAGCTTGAAATTGTGAAGGTTCAGATAATTTTAAATTTTTTTATGATGGAAATTTTCCTATTTGAAGTCTGAATTGACTGAGCTTGGAATGGGATTATGTGCCGACTGTTTTTGACAATTTTAGTGCAAATGTGGTTGTGGATGAGAGCATTGTTAATTTAGGGCTTTGGGATATAGCAGGTAAGTTCATATTAGCTAGTGATATCTTCTTCTTCAACAAACTCTTCATAAGTGTTGGATTTGACTTGTTTGTTTCATGGAACAGGTCAGGAGGATTACAATAGATTAAGACCCCTAAGCAATTGAGGGGTCGATGTCTTTATACTTGCATTTTCTCTAATTAGCAAGGCTAGATATGAAAATATATCAAAAAAAAGGTAAGAATAATGTTTTCATGTAAAGATAGATGCCTTTCTTTTCTGATCATAAGATAATTTTATGTCTGATTAGATGGTATGTTGATACATGCTTTTTTTTTTTTTCTTGGGGAGGTTCTGTTTTCGATGGTCAGTGGATTCCTAAATTGAGGCATTATGCTCCTGGAATTCCAATAGTTCTTGTGGGAACAAGGCTTGTTTAGATTCTCTTTCCTATCCTTTTCGTTTGTTCTAGTTAGTGATACTATTGGCTATTTTCAGACATTTGCATCTAGAATTCTGTCATAAATGTGAGATTTCTTCTTTGAAAGTTTTCACCAGAATTTCTTTGCGCCCATGGTTGCAAACTTACTTATATTTAACAATTTTTAACCCCATTTCCAAGTTCTTTTGAAGCATATCTCGATAATTAGGCCATTTTGACATACAGAAGGGAAGTTTTTGCAGAAACGTCTTCAGTTTTGCATCATTTATCCCCAAATATCCATGATCTATCTCTCTTTTCTTCTTCTGTTTTTGGGGGATTAATAGGGAAGTAGTAGAAAGTTTCAGTTATGAGCTTTTCACAAAGCTTTTCTTTTATAGTTGAAAAGTGCTAAGCTGCCATGTGAGCCTGAATAAAATTACTAGGTTCCTTCAAAATTAATAGCTTCTTGCATAGTTACACTATGTAGATATTCTGGAACTTTGCAAGAAAGGGTTAATATTCATTGCTATTGTGGCACTTCTCTAGCTAATGAAATACACGTTTGTAATTTCTTTGAGCTTTGTGGAATTGCTCGTGGAATTTCATGACCAGGGTCAACAAATTTAGTATTGTTTTTGGTATTTCATGTAGGCAGTGTTGAATCCTAGATATGTACTACTACCGTCATAATTATGCAGCATTTAATTTTAATTGAAGCTTTCATTTTGGCTACTAAGATCCATTTAGCTTCCTTGTATATTATTTTTAATATCTCTATAAACAGGATAGACATCAGTACTTAGAGGTGGAAACCTGAACCACTGGATTTGATTTTGCTATTAATAAGAGAAAAACAATACAAGATAGTTTTAGTTGCAAGTTCAGTCTGGTTTGGACCAAGTCAATTGCCACCGAACCATTTGAATAGTTTCAATTTGGCAATGTTTGATTTATAGTTCTATCATGACAAATTGGTCTTAGTTGTTGACAGCCTAATTGGATCACCATGACAGAGTAAGTTAGTTGTTGGCAACCCCATTAGATCCCTATAGGCAATTGAAAAATTGTTCTCAGATTCTTGGATCCATGAGGTGGCTTATGAGACCAGAAAAAGTTGATGGCATTTTTTGTAGACTATTGGAATATAGTCTATTTTTGTTTTGTTAGGTAGAGATACTAAACCAAATGAAATTGAGTCTTGAAATTCTCATTTCAAGATGTAGAGACTTCTTGATGTTTCTTTTTCTGACCCATGATAATAATATCAACTATTGCTTCTCCAATACCAATATTCTCTGTTCTTGGCGTCTTTAGAAGTAATGCTTGTCTGCACTGACTTGGAAGGAAATGTTTCAACTTGAACTGAGGTCTTTGCTATTATCATGCTCTTTATCATGTTTATTTTGTTATGTTGTATGTCAACAGATTTGTACTTGTAAACTTGTATACAGTAATTAAGAGTAAGGTTTGGCTGGGTGTGATGCCTAAGTTTGAGTCTCATTATTGCTGGGTGGATTTTAGTCTGACTGCTGCGCCATGCAACTTCCCGTATTCTCCTAAAAAAAAAAAAAAACATTTGTCTATGGATATTGAGTTCTATGTTATGATCAATTTTGAACCTGTCATTTTAGTTTTGCAATTTTTTTTTATATGAATGTTGTGCGTGAAGTGAACAGTCCTTTAGAGTGAATGACCTTTTATTTTGCCTCCTGTAGATCTTCGGGAAGATAAGCAGTTCTTTGTAGACCACCCTGGTGCTGTGCCCATTACAACAGCTCAGGTATATGTGGTGTTCCTATGTAAAATTATTTTTTGGCCATTGCACACTTGTTTGCATCTATCATTTCTAAAGTGTGTTAGTCCCTCCAAGAGAAACCTAACTTCCTATCTTTTAAAGGGAGAGGTGCTGAAAAAGCTGATTGGAGGGTTAGTTGCTCCAGCTATTGCCGCAGATTTAGGTGCCTTAACACATACATTGGGTACCCTCGTCTTTGTGATAGGAGCAAGTGTATTTGCTACAACTGCAACTGCAACTGCTATACGAACTGATGTCGATAGTTTTTGATAATCTCTTAATAGTTGTTAATATGTTTAAAAAGTTAGATATGCATAGTTTTGGATGGTTTAAACTTTTTGTATAGTTAGAACTTAAGGATATAGTTTTTGAATGTTTGGAATGTATAGACAATTGTTGAATGTTTATAATTTATGGATATAGTTTCTTTTTGATGTTTCAAACAATATTTTGGTGGTTGATTGATGTTTTGTGATGCTTGTTTGTAATATTTGTTAGATTGTACAAATTGGACATTTTATTGTCATTGATTTATTTCTTTGTGTTGTGATAAGGTGGAGGGATCAAAGTTTGTGATTGAAGCCAAGACAATCTAGAAAATGGAGCTTCTTAGCCCTGGGTGTTGGAAAGTATGGGTTAACTATGTCAAAGTCAATGTGCCTTTTGTTTAGAACTTTTTGGACAATTAGAATTTAAGGATAGTTCTTTTTGGATGGTTTTGAATTAAGGTTAGTTTTTGGATGTTTGGAATGTATATATTGATAATTTTTTAATGTTCATAATTTATGGATATAGTTTATTTTTTATACTTGAAACAATATTTTGGTGATTGATTGATGTTTTGTGATACTTGTTTGTAATATTTGTTAGATTGTACAAAATTGGTCAAATAGAACCTGTTGAATTTAAAAATAAAAAAAATAAAACTGCATATTCTATGGCATGTATAATGAGTCGTTGTATTACATATTTTATGGCGCAATCAGCGTTGTTATTTGTCTCACCAATTAACGGCATGTAAAAGTTGTTGTAGAAAAAGTAACGACGCACAAAATCTGCCGTTAAATAGTTTTTCTATAGCATGTTGACACACAAAATCTGTCGTTAAATAGTTTTTAATGGCGTACGAAACATGTTGTTGAAAATGAATGACTTTCTATGACTTATCATAATATGATGCGCGCTGCACGTCGTAGAATGCACGCCGTAAAAATTCTTTTTTGTTGTAGTGAATTAAAGTTTGTTATCTCTTTATGAGATCTTTTGTTACCACTGTACGAAATTGATCCGATTTTTTATCCATTTTGCAATGAAGATTTTCTTCTCGATCTTAAAAATAAAAAAAAAAATAAAAAATACACATCTAAGTATATTGGAGCACACCATAAACCTATTAACTAACAAACATTAACACATAGAAATGAATCCCACTTTTATTATTTTTTGTCATATAATATATTTTAACATACATTTTAGTTACACCATGAAAGATATTCTAATTGAGCTAAATAATTAATTAAAATAATATCAGTAATTTTTTTAACTTAGAGACTAAACTAATTCACACTTCTCATGCCAACGGAGAACTATTTAATACATTATTAAACCCTTATTTGGAAACATTATTTTAATAATTTTTTAATTTTTTACAAAAAAAACTGTGTAAAAAAATAAAAAGAGTGATATGATAATTTATAATAATTTTTAAATTTTTTAACTAAAATACGTAATTCCAAAATGAGGCGATCTCTTCTTGAGCCGGAGTAATTTTGCCTCCTTGGGCCGAAGTAGCTTTGTCTTCCCAAGGCCGGAGTAATTTTGCCCTTCTGGGCCCGAGTATTCTGTATGGCCTTTTTACCTAGTCCACTGCGTTTTGGGCCTCAAAACCAAACCCGAAGTTCGGCCCAATTTTCCCAAAAATTACCCTCTCAATTAGTAATCTCCAATACGTTATGATATTATTTGTATTCTATTTTAAAACTTATTGACATAAAATGTGAAAATTAGTATAAAAATATATATAAATAAATATATATTTTTAATATTTATGTTGAATTATAAAAGATAGTAATTATAAGTTAATCTATTGACACGAGTTGTGACAAAATAATTTTTTTATTATATTTTATTGAAATTGTTAAATTTATATTTTGAACTCATGTTTTATAAATATAGAGGTGTGGTTCATGCAATCACTTATTTATTTATTTTTAGAAGCATAGAGAGGTTGAATTTGTATAATTTGAAAGTAATTGACAGTTAATTACTAAAATATTAGGTTTTTTTTGAAATTGTAAGGGGGCAATCAACCACTCTAAGTCCATCCTTGCCTCGAAACACTAATTTTAAAAACTGTATTTATCCACCATCTATTGTTTTTAGGGGAGAGATTTAAATTATATTCAGCGTGGTTGGTTTAAGTTTTTTAGATTAAGTTTTTTGAAAATTGAATTTTTTATTTTTCGTATTTTTTTATTATTAGTGAATATTTTTAAAATTTTAAACAATTTATTTATTTTTTTAGATGTAACTTACTTAGATGTATCTAAAAAATAAAAAATTTGTGAAAAAATATTTTAAAAAATTAATAAATATATAAAAATACAAAAAATATACTGAATTCTCATTTTTTTTTATATTTTTGGTATTTAGTGAATTTTTAAAAATTTTTTCACAATTTTTTATTTTATTTTTTAGGTATATTTATGTTAGGTATGTCTAAAAAGTAAAAAAAAATTCAATAAAAACCAAAAAATACGGAAAACAAGAAAGTAGAATTTTCCGAAAAGTATTTTTGGAAAAGAAGAACCAAGCAAAGTGATTGTTTTTAGGGAAAATGTAAATGAAATATAGTTATATTTCACCCACATTTATCTTCTTTTTTTTTAAAAAAAAAAATTATGATCCGAATACAACATTTCTATATTTATGTAATTGAGTCAAATGGAATTATTTGTATTAAGTAAGCTCATAACTGATATTATTTGTATTGTATTTTAAATCAATCGCAACAAAATTTATTAGTGGACAAAATTGAAAAATAAAAATTAATTGCATAATAAGGCATTATTGGACATAAATTAAATAAGTGCACTTAGCCCTGGTTTGGCAAATTATTTGGGCTAAATAATCACAAAAAGACAAAAAAAACAAAAAAAAACAAAAAAAAAAAGGTCAAAAAAGCCAACAAAAAGTTTGTCATTTCAAAACCAAAAAGCCAAACAAGAAAACTAAACAAACAAAAAAGTCACAAGTTAAAAAAAGTCAAAAAAAGTAAAAAAGTAACTAAAAAAGTCATTATCAAAAGACCCCTTATTTAGATAAATGCATTATTTGAGTCATATCACTTATCTATTTTTTTGTATATATTTTCATAAAAAGTCAAAAAATATATTTATTTAGATCATCTCAAATAATTCCTAAGTATTATAATTTTTAATTTATCAAAATATCACACAAATAAATATAATATTACAATCTTAAAAATTTTATCAAAATTTATAAATTTATTTATACTTGAACCCACACTAATCCATTTCAATCAACACCATACAAACACATTAAGGGTGGGTTTGAGAAGTGGGTTGATTTTTTGACTTTTTTTACTTTTTTTGATTATTTTAGCCTGAGTTAAAAAATTTGGTTTGGGAAGGACTTTTTGACTTTTTTTTTTTTTTTTGTGAGAGAAGAGTGTAATGATTATGGGTTGGATGTGATGTTTTATTTGTTGTGGCTAAAATAACATATTTTGTCTTTTGTGACTATTTTAGCCACAAACTATCTTCCTAAACGGACCTTTAAAAGTTTTTTTGGAAAGAATTTTTTTAGCATGATTTTTAATTTTTTTACTAATCTCCGTTTGGAAAGATTTTTTTTGACTTTTTGCCTTTTTTGTAAAAAAAATAAAATGATTATAATTTAAATGTAATATTTTGTCTTATTAATTTATTTAGTCTATTTTATCTTTTTACAAATAGATTATTTTAATAATTTTTAAATTTTTTTTTAAAAAATATATAGAAAAATAAAAAAAATAATATCACAACTTATAATAATTTTTTAATTTTATCTTTGATTGAAAGTTAAAGTTGTGAAACCTAACATCAACCATACTCCACTTGCGACAAATGTGTCGGTTCAAAAAGGATAAAAATAAATAAAATAAAAATAAAAATTTCCAGTTGGCAAACGGGGACAAATGTGGATAATGTTGTCTCGGAGAGTAACATTTGCGTATTTAACAATCTTCCAAAACTGGGGGCCCAATGAGAGGTGGCAAAGGCAAAGGCAAAGGAGAGCACGTAGATTGCCCCGGCGACGTCAATAAACGACTAAACCAATGTCAATGCCCTCTACGCGTTTGATTGCGATTTCCAATTCTTTACTTTTTATTATTTTATTTTACTACTAAATTTTTATGCTTTTTTAATTTAATATTGTTCGTTCTTTTGTATAGTATATAAAGGCCAAACTCTATCTCTGCATCTTATACCTCGCAATAATTCGTAAAACAGAGAAAGAGATTGAGAGATGGCCAAAGTCGGAGGAATTACGGAATCGGCAGGCAGTGCGAATAGCTCAGAGATCGACAGCCTCGCTCGATTTGCCGTTGACGAACACAACAAGAAAGAGGTTCTCTCTCTCTCTCTCTCTCTCCCTTCAAACTTTATCTTCTAATTTTCCGGCAAAATGAAATACTAGTTTTGTTTGGTTCGGCTGAATGTTCTTTTTTTTTTTTTTTTGGGTTTCGACTTTCATGCCTTACTATTATTATTTGGGAGTTTCTTTCGATCTAAAGAATTTCAACCTAAAACAATTACGTGATGAAAATGATCATTTTCGTTTTGTGGGTTCAATAGACAATATGTTGATAGGTTGTTTGATGAAATGCCTATGTGAGTGGATTTGAATGAGTTGAAAGGTAGTTGGTGACTAATTCAGTATGCCCATTTGTTGTTTGATGATATGGCTTTTGTCAAATTGTCAGGGGAGTGAGTGCATAACGTTAAAAGCATACTTGTCAAAAAGGGCTTTTGTTGGGAGGCTGCTTTCATGAGAAGAAGGGCTTTCAGAATACGTGTGTTTTGTGATTGTTTAATTTGCAAGTAGGAAGTTCTTACCTGGATAATTTTTAATTTAAAATTAAACAAATTTATAAGAAATTAGAAGGAAAAAGTGACTACTTGCAGAGCAGACTCTTCAATACATATATATACTAGTATTGTATTGTTTTCATTTGTATAATTAAATTAAACACATGTAATCTTAACAATGAGAGATCATTATTTTATGGCTTTTGTTAGCATGTGTACTCAGTACAATAGAGGAAATGTTACATCGTCCATCTCTTAAGAGAAAACACATCAATAGCCATTAGATGCACAATGATCTATCAATAGCACCACACAAAACAAAACCCCAAGAGTGAGATCATTGGTTGTAGATGGATACGTGCACGTGGGAGATTTTTTATTTTTTATTTTTATGAATACTACATCAGTGTACATGGCTTTTTGGCCAATTCTATTTTGAACTTCCTCATGGATTTTTCAAATCAATTTTTCATTTTTACACTAGAAAGTAGACAGGATAGTGCAAGTGCAGCATCAAATGGTTAAGTAGCACCGTGACTCTCTAACAGCCTTGAGTGTTGAAAGTGCTCTCTCTCTCTCTCTCTCCCTCTCTCTGTGTCTGTCTTTGTACATCTGCATGTATATACATGTATATTATTATGTGTAGAAATTAGAAAAGAGTGGTTGTTTTGGTAGAGCAAGAATTGTTTCTACTCTCATCTCATCCAAGATCCTACTAAATGGGTACACCTTAAATTTAGTTTTTATTTATTTCAAAAAATAAACCAGTAAGATTTTACGCTACTATCTTCCTACCTCTATGACTTTTCTTGTAAAATCCAACCCAAGATTAGCTGCAAAAAGTGGAAGAAATGGGGAAACAATATTCCTGGCTAGATTGATAAACCTTTATCACTTCATCTGCATCTCTGACCTCCAATCATGGGCGTAATGTCGGAACCCCTTTTCATCTTCATCTTCTTTCTTTTCATAATGCACGTTTTAGGTACTCTCTCTCTGTCTCTCTCTCTCTCTCTCTAGGTGAGTTGGATTTTAATCTTAATTTTTTTCTTGAGCTAGGTTAGTTTAGATTGCCTATACAGTGTTATAGGTTTTCTTTGTGAGACGTATATTATAGACAAACTTACATATAAACACAAATCCCCAACCACCTGTAACCACGATCAACTTTCATCCAAAAAAAAAAATAGTTGGATGTGGAGCGTTCTCATGTCTTGTAGTTTTATTCAATTTAGTGGTGACAATAGAGGTTTTTGTATTAACTAAGTGTAGCTACCCAATGTGGCCCAATATCCAACCCAGTGCAGGAAATCCCATCTTTGTGTGCTTCGAATTTAAGCTCCCACCTAACAAGGCCTACTCCCTGCGTCTCCCATCACTTGGTCCGACCACATTTGGGGCTGCCAAGAGGAGGAATACTCTTTTTTATAGAGCTGAAAGAGTAAAGCATATATCTAGAATTAATGAGTTAAAAATTGACGCATATCCTTATGAAAATATAATGTACTAAACAATTTGTGCATGAAATAGGTCAAAATTTATAAGCAACTATGAAAAACTCTATTTAGAGTTGGCCTTTAAATAGAAAGTCCGTTGGCTACTTAAAGATAGTTGAAACCCAAGCCCAACCCAAAGAGACTGCCCTGGTTTGGCGAGCTATGCCTAGGTGACTGCCTATAATAACTATGGTTAATTGCAGTGTGTGTTTCATTCCTAATTAGATGGTTCTTCTACTATCCACGCTCAAGGACTTGCTACAAGGAAAATAATTTTAAGACTGCAACCAAGCATCAAAAAGCAAGAGGAATAAGTTGTTTTCAGGTGTAAATTATTCTATTGAATCAAAGCAAACAAAAAATAATTTTTTTGGGTTATCATTTTACTCTATTAGTGAATTCTATTGTTCTCATGATCCCTCAGTTTGTTTTGGCTGGAAAATAACACTTTTTTCTGCTATCTATAATTATCCTACTATGATGAATGTTTTTCCATTCAAACTAACAGATAATTTATTGACAGCTTTTTTATTATTTTTATTTTTCAAATTATGTAATATTTCCTATATTCAGTGTATGTTATAGTGATGTTTGTATTTATGCGTATATGTGTCCATATATACAGTTGCATATAATCAAAATTTTATAAGTGTACAATTCATTGATGCAGTTTCATTCTTGTTTTTCGTTTTTACTGTTGTGGGCAGAATGCTTGTCTTGAGTTCAGCAAAGTCGTGAATGTGAAGCAACAGGTTGTTTCTGGAACTGTGTACTATATAACACTGGAAGCAACCAACGGTGGTCAAAAGAAAGCTTATGAAGCGAAGGTCTGGGTGAAGCCATGGATGAATTTCAAGGAGTTGCAGGAATTCAAGCCCATCGGTGACACTCCTTCACACCCTAGTGCTTAGCTAGGTAACTATTACTATGGAACCCAATGACTTTATGTGGTTTAAGTTTGATGATTAATGTTTCATCAGTTAGTATGGTATTAATTAATCAATTAGGGGTATCCAGAGGTTGATTTTGGGTCGGGTTTTTTAAAATTGGTCAGTTGACTGAACCTGTTTGAGTTGTGAATATGCCTAACTGATTTCAACCGCATGTTAGATCAAAATCTTCTTCAGTTTGTTGGTTGGGTTCAGAATTAAAAACCCAAACATAAAAAATTTTGTGCACACTAGGCGATTACTGATTTAATAGAAGAAGGGGTTCAACATATTCAAAGAAGAAGAAGAACCAAAAAGAGTTGTATAGAAACAGGATTTCTAATATACCAAAACACTAAACAAGCCTCAAAAACCTAACTAAATTTAAAACAAAAACCAAACTACACTTGGAGATCAATAGATGTAGACAACCAAAACGCTACAACCAAACCTAGATCAATCAGCGTTGCTTCCACAGCCAGCAATCAACGTCTCCACCACCGTCTTTCTTGAAGCTTGAAGATCAATTGGTCTTTGCACACCGCCGCCAATCAGTGTTGTCGCCATCAGCATTCTAAAGCTAGAAATCTACCATTATTGAAGCTTAAAGTTTGTTGACGCTGTGTGATGCCGTATGAAATCAGGCTTTGTCTTTTGGGTGTTCAGATCGTGAGAGGGGCTTTTGGATTGTGGGGCTTTTGGAATATGCGAGATAGATTTAACCTTTAGGGTTAGGGTTGACAAGAGAGAGAATGAGATAGATGCCTTGATGACAGAAGGAAGTTTAAATAGAAGATAGAGATCGATTTAACCTGTGCCACATGTCGCATGTCCGTGCTTCTTAGTTCTTGAATGTGCATTTGACATGCCATGAATTTGATGTGGCTTTTCTACCACGTAAATACTTGTAAGTAATAAGGAGTTTTAATTAATTAATTTAAAAAAAAAAGGTGAAAGTTCAACAATGTTTTCAAAATTTTGAACATATCATAGAGAACAAGCAAAATATGAATCCTGTCTGTGTTAAATGTCCATACAATATAACCTCCTTTTCCCCTCAATGAATATTAATATTAGTTGAAAATTCAATGTAACTATTATCAATGTGGTTCTTTGTGAATAATGAGTAACCAGTTACATGATTGATTGTATATTATGGGCATCGATTCTACATGTTTTGTCTCTCTTGAAGAATTTGACTTATTAATGTGTCTGCATCATGCGACTCATATCATTTAAATCTTGTATCATATCCATGCTTAGAGTCCTAGAAGTAGTCGAAGTTTATAAATTCTTTGTTTTTTTTTGTTCCTTTAAACCTTGATCTACTAATGACTAGTGTTCCATGCGCAAGCAAAGCATGGTAGGTTCCTTGCTGTAAGTTTATTTTTAAGGCATAAACTGATGTTGTCAGTCAAACCCAGGTGAAGGTTCCAGTTGAAGGATGTAAAGCTTTGAAGGTTCTGACCCATTTGAATGAATATTGGGGCTATATGTTTCAGTTTTTACTAGTACTGTGTAATCTTGTTTTCTATCTGAAACTTTCTATTTTCTGTATGAACTTTTAGCCTTGGATTTGATGGGAATTAAGGACCTTTGTGATAAATAAATAAACTTGCATGTTTAACATTGCGAAACATGGCTGCGCTAAAATTTTTGTAATTATTTATGAAAAATGATTTTTCCACTAAATTTGGGTTCGCCCGAATTGTTCGAATTACGTAAGCTGGACGACCGACTGAATCACCGGTATCACCTTTGTCAACCGTGATTGTCTACCTTGTCATCCGGTGTGTTAAGTGGCATCTGCTTGGATGACTGGCATGCACAAATTCAGACAATTCGAGTGAATTAAAATTCGGTGGATGTAACATTGTAGATTATTTATCTTGTAATGTTTGGTGGGTTGTAAACCAAGAATGATTTTCAGGTCTTGTTAAAAAGGATTGAGGCTAAATTTTACAAAATTATAGAAAGGTTAGCTAGGAATGTTTACTTGGTCCAATTTAAAGGCTTGTTGCTAGCATTCTTAGTAGTGCAGATTTGAGTAACGAAAATAGTTTTTTTCGAAAGACGGAAGTGAACTCTTATCCACAATGCTACGACTCTTGAGTAGGTGTTTAGATCCTCTGAAGTGGATCTCTCTAGAGTTTTCTTGCATTTGAACTAAATGACATCATTTTGCTTAAGACTCCCAACAAAAAACAATAAATTAAAAAAAATAAAAATAACACAAACCTAAACAGACATGCATACAACGCCTCACTCGCCGTTGGCACCATCTTCGGCTGCCGCCCCTCTCCATCTCACCTCTTCTGTCGTTGTCCACCAGGCCCCTTCTCTCCGCCTCTACTTCTTTCTCCACTTCCGAAATCCCGAACCCTAATCCTAGATGTAGAGTTTTCAAAGGGTGGTGGTAGGCGGTGATGGCTGCGACAGTGATGGGCGGGAATTTGGGTGTAACGACCACCTAAAGAGAGTAACATTGAGTTCTGAATGGAATGAATTGTAGTTTTGGGAGGTGAGTTTTTGGAGAAGTCTGATTGTTTGGCATAGAAAGCATAGCATTAGAAATCAAATCTCTATTTGCTTTACCCATTAAACTACAATTACAGAGAGCATTAGAAATCCAATCTCTGTTTGCTTTACCCACTAAACTACAATTAGAGAAAGTAAAGATCAATATTATACATATACATATATAAATCACAATTCTTCTTGATTTCACCAGAAATTGAATGGTAATTGCATTTGTATATATCTTATATATACTAGTGTAATATCTGTGCTATTCACGGTTTCAAATAAATAATTAATAATTAATTTTAAAATTAAAATTAAACAATAAAAAAATAAAATTAATTAAATTTAATTGTTTTTATCACAATTTCGCTTATTTTTTTTTCCTCCTATCATTAATGCTATGTTTTAAGTTCTAAATAACAATAACATGAATAAAATGTAATTAGTAAAAGTTAAATAAAAATTATGATAAATTATAAAATTGTACTTTTTAATTTTTATTTTTAGGAACAAAAACTTCACCTATGATAAAATATAAATACATTATTATTTTTTAAGGGTTTCATAATTTTAGTTTGCCATATATTAGATGATATCGTAAATTATGTGAAACTCAATAATAATAATAATATAATTATTATTATTATTATTGTTATTATTGTTATTTTTTACTAATTATATTTTTTTAGTTTTCCATATAATAATATATATATTTTATTTTTATTTTTTTTGGTGTGAAACTCAATCTAGCAAAATTTGTTTAAATCAAAAAATTGAATAACAAAATGAAAATGACAAATAATGAACTACCCGTGACACTTATCCTCTTATCTATCCTGAAATCAGCATTTACCTATCAAATACAACTTCTAGATTTTCTCACTCTTGCTAGTTTTGGTATCTTATATTGGGGCGTTGTTTAAGTGTGCAACCCCCTTAAGGTTGCACACCATATGCAATTCAATTTTTAGCTGTTAGATTACAATAATTGATGAAGACAATTGAATTGTTTAATCATGAAAAAGTTGAAATCAGGGCAACCAATTAATGCTTGTATTTGCATGATTGCATCCCACTTACTCTCTCTATTTCGTCTCTATCTCTCTCTGTTCTCCTCTTTGTGTAAGGTTGAGTCAGTGTAACCCTTGATTTCTATTAACAGTGAGAAGCCCCTGCTGGGTTCCATTGATGAAGCTCTGTAGGGAACAGTATAACGGGCGATTTCCAACAACAACGGGACTATAAGGTTGTGTTGGTTCCATTGCTGAAGTGAAGGCGTTCTCTCTAACTAGATATGAGGTATGGAGCTGTCTCCCTCTCTCTCCGGCCTCTTCACTTCAGCTATTTTCCTTCAACTAAACCCCTATCCTAACTTCAACCGCTCTATGCTTCGCTCAAATAGAAACCCCTCCATTGGCAACTAACCTTTCTCCCTCTCAAGCGAGTGTTTGTGTTTGCACAAACAATTAAACCGTGTGAAAATGTCATGTTTGTGTTTGTGTTTGTGTTAACATTTTTCGGTCATCAAGTAATTGTTTGTACTAATGTCATGTGTACTATGGCCCCGACAGAAGTTAAAGGGAAGGTGATGATTATGACATTTCAAATAAAGCAGATGACATTCGTTTGATCAATGAAAGTCGGGCGGAACCTTATCATGGTTGCGAAACTGGTCCGATCAATGAAGAAGCAACCAACAGAACGTTGAAGATAGCGGAGCCGATGTGAAACAAGAAACGGTTGGCGATGCTCATCGCAATGACATGGTTGGTGATGTTGTTTGTGCTATTCTGGAACAGAAATTTGATTCGGTCGAAGATGGAGAAGCTTTCTACAATCCGTATGCTAAAGCCAAGGGATTTAGTATACGAAAATCCAGATTTAACATAAATAAATAGGGAAAGGTTGTTAGTAGGCTGTGGTTGTGTTCAAGGGAAGGTCAGATATTATCAAAATACTTGGACCGTGTTGCTGAGAAGAGTAGAGCTCCCAAGGCACTAACAAGAGTAGGTTACAAAGCCCAATTTCGCATACGGTACGATGCAGATGTTGGTGAAGGGGGAAAGTATGTTGTGACTCACTTCGTTGCAGACCACAAGCATGAATTAGCGGAACAACACTGTGTGATGTATCTGAGGTCACATCGCGGTTTAAAAAGCGCTGACAAAGCTCAAGCAATGGCTATGCGCAACGTCAGTGTGAAGACTAGCCAAATCACGGACTATATGGTAAATCAATTCGGGTCTTATGAGAATGTTGGTTTCATTCGTACGGATCTGCACAACCATATTCAAGCCGAACATAAAGCAGAAGTTGAGGATGGTGATGCGCAAGGTGCGTTCATTTACCTATGTGCAAACTTGATGTTGACGCACATTTTTTTTACAAGTATGATGTGTGTAAGGATAACAAGTTACAAAATCTGTTTTGGGCAGATTCGAAATCGCGGGCTGACTACGCAAAGTTTGGTGATGTGTTGATAATTGACTCAACTTACAGAACCAATGCGTACAAGAAACCTTTTGTCATGTTGGCTGGTGTGACTAACCACTTTAGGACCACGATATTTGCATGTGTTTTGCTAGCTAATGAGACAATTGATACATACACATGGGTTTTGAAAATATTTATGGAGGCCATGGGCAATAAAACACCTGTGTCCGTATTGATAGATGGGGATAAGGCGATGCGAGAGACAATCAGAAGTGTATTTCCAGACACAAGACATCGACTATGTAATTGGCATCTTGGGAAAAATGTTGTTTCAAATGTTCACAAAAGTGGCTTTGCACATACTTTCAAGTAGTGCATGGACATGGAAACGGATGAGGCAAAGTTTGAGCATGGCTAGACGAGAATGGTCGAAAAATTTGGACTTCAAACCAACAGCTGGGTGTTGGAGACATATGAGAAGCATCATATGTGGGCTGAGGCATATATGCCTAGACATTTCTTGATTGGGATGAAGAGCACTCAGCGCTCGGAGAATATGAATGCTTATTTCAATCACTTCCTCCAACACAAATTGAAGCTATATGAATTTGTTAGGCACTATGATCGGGCTCTTGCAAGGATAAGGTATAATGAGGCTGGAGATGATGCTGAAACAAATTACACTTTTTCGGTATTGATTACTCCATTGCGAGATATAGAGAGACATGGAGCTGAGCTATTCACCTGAAATATATTTAGAATGTTCCGTGATGAAATCTTAGAAAAAAGGGAAGTTAAATGTCAAGGATGTGTTCCCTTTGCGGGATGGTTCGAAATGCTACTATATTCATAAGTACAAGGTGAAGGATAGATCATGGATAATAACACACAATCCAGTGGATGCTGCAATGAGATGTTCTTGCATGAAGTTTGAGTTGTTGGCGCTACCTTGCTGTCACATGATATGTGTTATGAAAGCTGAAAATTCAATACAAATTCCCCCAACTTGTGTGCTATATAGATGGACAAGGGCTACAAGCAAGGATGGCTAGCAATGGCCTTAACCCTCAATTGATAGCACTACAATACAGACGACTAGGTATGAGATATTGAGTTCTTCCTACAATGAAATGTGTTTCTATGCCTCGTAATCAACGGAAGGTTTCAAAGAAGCTAGGGATGTATGTCTTCTGATGAGAAGCCATATGAAGGAGTTATATGAGAGGAATCTGAACGATGGGGATAGAGACAAAGGGAAACATTCAATCCCACGACAATTTGGAGTAGAAGATCCTGATCTTGTGAAGACAAAAGAGAACCTGGGATGGGCCTCGTCCAACTGTCGAAGACTAAGAAAATGTAAGAATTGCAAATGCATTGGGTACACAAAGCGAACGTGTCCTAAGGTTCGTTTTAGGTGAACAGTGGGTTGTAACTCAGATGCAGATACAACCCATATCACTGACCGTGAGTACAATGTGGAGTCATTGCCCATTCGCTGCAAAACTAGGTTGGTGGATCCAAGTATACCGCACATTAAGCAACGATGATTATTTTGCTTTGTTTCTCCTGATTCCAAACAACCTATGGGCCAATACGGTAGTGTCGAAGCAGCAGCGTACAAAAATGATTCGACCACAATTGATGAGGTGAATCAAGTAATTGTATAATTTGTGTGATTTA